AGGAGCCCGCTGCCGCGGGGGACGCTGAGCTGTGCCCAAGCTATGTGGGTCAGCAGCTATTTTCATCCGTGATGTCATGGCGAATGCCCGTGGGACAGCGCCAGCGGAGCCGGAACGGGGCCTGTCTCCGGATCGGCGCTGCAACCGCGCTGCGGGCACAGCGCACTCTCTCCGACAGGTTCCCCGGTGCTCGCGTGCCAGCTCGTTCATTCAGATTTTCAGCGGTTCGGATTTTTTTTTTTTATTATTGTCATTGGAGCGTTAATTCCGGCAGAGAGGAATTACAGGTTGCAGGTGTTTGGCGCACGTCAGGCAGCCAGTGGCAGCGATCGTGTGCCAAGGACCTCTAGTGCCAACCGTGGTTTTAATGTGTTGGCTGCTATATGACTCCTGACCCCTGACCCCCGACCCTTGACCCTTGACCCATGCCCTTTGGCCTCTCTGGTCAGGATGAATGCCTGTTCCTGAAACAGAACCCCCTCTCCTGTCTGTTGTCCTTGTGGCATAAGCATTGTCTCGGGGGGGGGCTGTGGGGTCTGGTCTCCCTGGCTGACAGCCCTCTCGAGAGTATCAGCGCCATGGTCTGGCTGTGCACACTGCTCCTGCAGGCACGGCTGTCACCCTGCCCTGCCTCTCGTATGGAGACAGGAAGGGCAGAGGATCTGCCAGTCTTATTGGCATGCACAGCCTTACCCGTCAGAAGCTGGCCTCTGCCCATCGCCGTGACAGGGCCCCGCAGACCCAGCGGGGAGCCCTGTCTCTCTGACACGGCCAGTCCAAGGCCGTCTGTCAGACGCTGAAACTGAAACTGACGCGACCCCTGCCTTGAGTCACTCCGCATGCCAGAGTCGCCGCAGTCTAGAATAACAGGAGCTGGGAAATTCTAGACCGTTAAACAGAGCGGTAATGCTAAATATAAAGATGGTTTGAAAAAGAAGTCATTCACAGTCGCCCCAGTGTGAAACATCTGCTGTATCGCCAGACGATCAGCAGTTAACTTCACTGATTGAAAGATCCTAAAGCCGTCTTGTCTCATTTGCCTAAGAAAGGCAGAGGGGCGTCTCTTATTGCAGGCCTTCCTCACAGTGGTGCTTCAGGGTCATTCCTCACAGTTGCCGCCGACTGTGACAGAGTGCCAGGCTTCCCAGCTCCTTTTCAAGCGATCCCAGCCGAAGCGTCTTCTTCCGCGCTCCTCCTGAGAAAGGTCGGGAGCTGCACGCCTGAGGTCACCCCGGCCTGACAGCGGGAGTGTAAGGGGATACTGCATGCGCGTGAGTCAGGCAGGGCTGGTTCGTCTGTCTCAGGTGACCTCCCTGCCCGGCCCGCCACTGGAGGGGAAGCGGGTGAGCTCATCGTTTCGCTGAAACCGTGTGACGCTGCGCCTGGCTCTACGGTCTGGGATACTGTTAATCATTCACAGCCCATGCCGGTTCCCGGAAAAGGCCAACCTGTATTTTCCTTGCAGATTCGGTGCACGTCAGTGCCAGCTCAGCGCGGGCTGAGTGTTTGATTCCTAAACACGGCGGGCGCCTTGCTTGACCCCTGACGCTGTACTGCTGAGGCAGGGCCGAGACAGTCGTCGGGACTCGATTGATGAGTTCTGACCCGGTCCTGTGCAGTGTCCCGGGGCACCGATTGGTACTCCCAGCACAGGATCTGTTGCAGTCAGCCTGGGAACCAGTGGAGGTGTCAGGATGGGGGGGGGGGTTTCGCAACCCCGTCTTTCCCTGCAGACTGTCCTGGTTGCAATCCCAGCAGCTCTCACCGTGTCTCTCTCTTGTCTTGACGCTTTCTGAAATTTGAGATTTCCCTGCCAGAGGGAGACGGCTGGTTCACCAGTTCACACCGGTGCATGTTATCATCCCTCGGGCTGAGATCGTGGACACCGGCGCGTGAGGATATGGCTTGGCTTAGCTCAGGGTGCTGCTCTTTGTGTCCTGTCCAGCCTGGGGACAGTAAGTGGACACGCTTGCCCAGAGCACGGAGGCCGCCTGGCCTGTGACGTAGCGCAGGCGGTGATACTCTCAGAGCTGAGCTTGCACACCTGTGCCGCTTCCAGCCCTGAAGCAGTGTGTCACATGGACACAGCCGAGCCTGCTGGTATCAGCTTTCGCTCTGTGTCAGGACCGTTCAGGTACACGGTATGAGTCATCGCTATCTGCGGTGATCGCCTGATTTGTAGTGTCAACAATTACAGAGGGACTCGGCGGAAAGAAAAAATGAAAGCATTTGTAATCCTTGAGTTCCTCTTCTGACTTCTGACCAGGGTTTATGATGTATCAGCACAATTATAGATTAGATCAGTCCAAAGGAATGTTAACGACGTTTGTGACCTATTTTCTGACCTATCCTAATTTTTCGAAACTCTCTTGAAAAGGATAACAAATTATTTTATCCCTCTTGTAAGACCTAGTGGTTTTCTCCACGTAACTAATTACCATTCCAGAAGGTAAATAAAGTGTATGATTAACAGTGATTTATGTGCACTTTGCTTGTCATCACAGGAGTAATTTTCCCTGATGGAATATCAAACCACTTATTACAAACTTACTTTGAAATGTAGCTGGTGTTTCAGCTCAGTACCCAGACAGTGGAAACTCTTTTTTATCTCATGAGCACAGCTAAGGGAATTATTGGACTTTCCACTCAGTGCTACTGCAAGCAGCTCTTGAATTTGGCATGTATTTCAGTCCATTTAGTCCCTTTGCTAGTCAGCAGTTAACTGATCCCAGAACCTCATCCAGCCGTTTCTTCAGAGAAGTCAGGGTATCAGCTTCAACAACATGACTGGGTAACTTGTTCCACACCCTCACAACCCTTTGTGTAAGGGGGTGCCTCCTGTACTCACTTTTGAATGCACTTCCACTTCTCTTGCATTGGTTTGGAAACCTGTAGTGAATTAGATTCAATGGCGTAGTTATCACCTCCCTGGCTGCCTGGGGTTAGTGCTGAGCTAAATCTGGGCACAGCAGGCTGTGCTGTGAACTGGCTCTCGTGAGTCTGCTCCCAGGGCCCAGAACACGACTCCTGCGGAGACCATGTGGGCCGTTGCCATGAGAACACCCCTCCATGCTGGCTGGGATCTGCTGGGATCCCAAAAGTGGGAAAAGCCTGAGAGACTGATTCCCATGGAAGGAGAAGTAGGATCAACAGGGAAGTACCGAAGAACTGACTTTGCTCGTTCTTGAATGTTGATTGCACGAGAGGCTGAGGTTATGATTCCTGCCGATTCTGAATTGCTGAGATCCACATTTCCGTAGCCTGTTAGGGGGGGTGGTGGCCGGTGGAGGAAATGACTGAGGATCTGGGAGAATTAAATGCCCCACGCTGGGAAAGAACC